TTTGTCTTTTTGTCATTTTGTTTGTGCCTCCTCGCTTTTTGATAATGTCAAAGAGGGAGAACGTGTTGTTGAATTTTTGTACTGTTATCACGTTTGTATCTTACAACAACAACAACTTTAAGCCTTTATCCCACTACGTGGGGTCGGCTACATGAATCCTTTTTCTCCATTGTGTTCTATTAAAAGTCAAATTCTTGTTTAAACCTAATAAAGAAAGGTCATTCCTAATATTTTCTAACCAAGTCTTTTTTGGTCTACCCCTACCTTTCTTAACATAAGTCAAATCTAATACCTCTACTCTCCTAACCGGGTCATCGAAAGGCCGTCGTTTTATGTGACCAAACCATCTAAGACGACTCTCTCTAATCTTATATTCTACTGGAGCTACTCCAACATTTTCACGTATAATGTCATGAATCCTTTAAGAAATTGTGTTTGTATCTTGTTTTCAAAAAATTAAAAACAACAAAAATATTTTCATCTCCCCTATTATTAAAATGGTTTATTCTGGTGAGGGGGGAGATTTGGAGAAATTGTTTTTTTTATTCAATTTGATTTGTTAGCCATCATCAAAAAGTGTGAGATTGTTGCGGATCAATGGTTTATGATTTTGATGATAGTAAATATTTTTATTTCTCTACGACTGCCTTATCTACTGATATTTCAGGTTCACACGATCAGACTGTAATTTGGAACTAGCTCAAGATTGGGTAGACTAGGTCTGAGTCACTTTGTACACTTTTTTCTTTCTAGAGTCTATTGTATTTGGTGTAGTTCCTGATGTCTTATAACTTGGAAGAGTTTCTAACTATTCCATAGAGTTTACTGTTTTGGTAACATCTCCTTGGATGATATTTATATCGGCCGGGACAATCTGTTCAAAAGCAGAAACCCTAATGAGGGCATCCTCATTAAAGCAGCCGTCATTATGCAAAACACATCGTCCTGGATGATTTTGTATCAGTCAGGACGATAGGCTCAATTCAGAAAGATTCTGCTGCCAGATCTATTTAGAAAAAACCTATTTTTCGACATCGTCCAGGAGGATTGTCTAGGACTATAAAATACCGTCCAGGACGATACAGGTCAATTTTTTGAAAATTTCTCTGAAATTTAAGGAAAGCAATTATGACTTGATTTCACGATCAAATCAGCCTGGACGATCGCAAGATCGTCCTTGCCGATATGCTGGATGATTGGTCATCATATAGCTATTTTTAGGGTGATGTCAAGGACGATATTCCATAATTTGTACTGATAGTCCAGAATGATATATTATCATCCTGGACGATATGAAAAAACTTTTTTTGATCGTCTCAAATCATCCCGGCTGATTGGGCTTAAATTGTACTAATCGTACAGGATGATATGCCTATCATCCTGGATGATAATATCGACAACTTGTATTAATGAGCTCATTTTTAGTTCTTCTATTTAAGCTATGACAAGGCACTTTGTAAGTGTCTTTGGCAGCCATTGTAGCTTTGTTCTTGTGGGGGAGACTTGAAGAGAGAGCTTGAAAGGGAGTGAGGAATAGGTGAAGTCTGAGAGGGAGAAGATCCTGTTAGGGGGGACTCAAGGGAGTGTGGAGGGGATTCCACACGGTTGCTCCGGCAGGCTTGCATCTTAATACAGTCAGATTCAAGGCTTGTCTCAAGAGAAGTTTACCAAAGAAGAAGTTCACTTTGGTGTCAAAAGACCCGGCGACTCCGCCGCACCGGAGAAAGTGGAAGTGATTTTGTAAGGGCTTCTCCGCCTAGCTATAGGGGGCTATAGGAGAGACACTTGTTTTAGTGCAATACTTGGAGGGTGCCTCCAAGGAGTGGACGTAGGTCAAGATTTGACCGAACCACTATAAATCCAGTGTGTTCTTTCTTATTATTTGCTTCCGCATTTAATTTCCACATTTGATTTTCTTTGTGGTGATTTTGGTTTGAGTTTTATCTTTGGTTTTAAAGTTATCTAATTTACCTCTCTCTTTGTTAGCCTTGGGCCAGTTCATAAGGGCTTAACATCCCTAACGAACTTTCAAGTGGTATCATAGCAGTTTTTTGTGTCATCTGAGCACTTTCAATTTGATGTTAGTGGTTTGAATAAGGAATTGGTTTAGCAACTATGGTTGGGCAACTAGAATCCAACAACGGTGGTTGGGATGTTGTGTAATGTTGGGGGAGGTCCAACAAAGGCAGTGATCTAGTGATGGCACTTGTTCGACAATGGAAATGGATCTCGACGAACATATAGAATCTTAAAAAAAAATCCTTAATGTCTACATAATAGAAGACATATAATTTGGGTTATAATTAAGCTAAGCTGGCTCAAACTTGACTTGTTAATGAGTTGTGAGTCAAGCAGGGCTTGAGCTTAGAAAATCCTTAAATAACAAGATGTTATGGCAACATCTTTGAACAAGAGATTTGATGACAAAACCTTTATATCGAATTCAAAAGCATTAAGGGACAGAAAAAAAGGTTATCAACGATAAGTTTTTGAATATAAAGCAAATTAGGAGATATATTTTTAATGTGAAGTAGAAGAGAAAGAATACGCTTGTGGGAAAAAGTTGGAAGCAGCCCTAAACCTTTTAATGATTTGTAATGAATTTTCATTTCTATGAAGAACTTGGCATATCTTATGTATGGTGTAGATTGGCGAAGCTAAGAGAGATTTGAAGTTGAGTGTGAATATGCTCTAGAATCTAAGAACCAATTTGGGGTTAAAGGTGGAAAAGTTATAATAAATTCTTGTTGCATGGAAGGGGTAAATAATTCTTTGATGTAAGCACTGAGCAGTGGAATGCCCAAGTTTGGCATAAATTTAACATTTGAGGTAAATTGAGCAAAGTTGAGCACCTCCTGCCAATGAATGAGATTGTGCAAAATGAGTTGAGTAAGAATCGAAAGAGCAACCTAAAACAAGGGTATGGTATTGTAATTGACTCATGCATTTCCCTCTAATTGCAATGGAGAGACATTGGAGTGAACGGGAGAGGAGGAATAAATGAAGAATAGTCTTTGAGGGATTCAGTGACAAGATTTGTTTCCTCATATAATAAAGATCCTCGAGTATTATAAGGGTAAGTTTAGTGAGGATAATAGTTTTAAATGCTTGATAATTTTGTGGAAAATTTTAAAAATATGTTGAATAATATATTTAATATCTAGGGATTAGTTTTTCATTTCAATGTCATCGATCTTGAATTTAATTTTGGGTAAGTATCATGTCATTGATTTAGTATTCATCAAGATCAAGACATTATGTAGCTCATCTTCATAACAAAGAACTCGAGAATGGTTTATGGACTAAAGCCATATTTTAATGGTGTGACAAATCTAGGAATAAGATTCCATTGAGAATATGAGGATGAATTGATGCAAAAATATATAGAATAATGCCAATGTTATGTTTTGATCATATGTTGTATTTTGGGTTTCCTGAGATTTGCCCAAAGTGGGTAAGGAGCTATTTAGGATAAAGTTTAATCTCATCAAGATAGATATCAAAACAATTAGCTTTAAAAGTTTCAAACACTTAGATCATTGATTGTGTTTCAGCAATATGTATAATATTAGATATTGCAAATTTAAGTTTAAGATTAGGGGATGGGGTTAATGATTTTTCTCATTTTACCATTAGAGTTGTCGAAAGAATTAGAGGATTTCTCAAAGAAGTTTGAAGAATCAACCACAAAGACGAAGTAAAATCCATCAAGGAGAAAAGATATACAAGAGTAGATTTTGGTGACAAAAGAGTAGAAAACATGAAAGTATTGTTAAGCGAAAGCTCTAATTCCATGTTGAATCCTAACAGTTAACATAAGGCTTGTAGTAAAAAATAGAGCAAATAAGGGTGAGAAGAATGAAAGAGGAGCTTAATATATTTTATTTCACATATTGAATTAACTATAATCACATTGAAACTAAGGCTTCAATTGGGACAACTTTCTCACTGCTTTCTAAAGTGACTTTTTAGCACAATTTTTTTTTGAAATTTTGTGCTAAAAGTTGTTTTATGAAATACTAAAAAAGTTATTCCAAATGAAGCCTAAGTATTGAAATTATCTTTGATTCCTAAATAATGTGTAGGCTTAAAATTGATCTCTTTCTTCTCCTTTGTTCGCTTTATCATTTTTGTTGAGTCAAACGACTCAAAGAACAACATATATAATGGTGGAATATAAAACGAGAGAGAAATTTCTTACATTTTGGACTATCTCTAATCGATTATCAGGACTGATTGCATGAAACAATAATAAAAAAAGAAAATTAGCAGCTCAAAATTTGTCCAACATAAACTCAATATGATTTTTTATTATTCAAAAATATTATATTTTTAACTAATTTAAACAATACTTAATGAATCCAAAAAACAAAAAAGGGGAAAATTTTAAAGTAAGCATGATTAAAAATTTAATTATATAATTAAGTATTGTAAAAAAAAATTAAAAGTTGACAAAGTCGTTCGTTACACGGGCGACTTATTGACTCAGCACATCAAGTGCCAACTCATCCAATTGGTACTGTAGCAAGTCAGCCTATTAAACAGGTAACTTAGCTACTTGCTACAGTAACATAATAATAAATTTTTTTAATTTATTTTTTTAATTAAAATATTTTAGAATTAAAAAAAAAATTAACTAAAAGTATTATTTATTTTCAACCCCTGTTTTTGTAGTTGTCAGTTTTTTCCACGGGCTTGGTAGATATTGGAGTTGGGTTGTGGGAATTCACGCCACAGCGAAAGGCGTCGATCTCTCTGCCATCGCTGTTGAGAGGATGTGAACGCTTGAAGGAACTATTTGTAAGCAATTTTGTTTGATCTTTTAATGATGCTTAATCACATAATTAAACTTTTAATCATACTTACTTTAAAATTTTACCCACAAAAAAAACCATTATTTATAGTAAATACATTTGAAAAACTCTCACAACCAACATTCCTTCTCCAACTCTCTCGTTCCCTTATATAATTCCTCCTCCTCTGCCACTGAGGGAGTTAGCATGTGGAAGTCCGATGGCTTCCATGGCTTTGGCTATGGCATGGCGGTCGCCATGGGCATCTTTCTTCTGATCACCGCAGTTACTCTCATCATCTACTACTTCCTTCGTTGGAGGAACATCAGAGCCGATGAACATCAGAGCGACGCTGTTGTGGAGGCGGAGCTGGCTGATGTGGAGCAGGGAATTGATGAGACGACTTTGAAAAGCTTCCCGAAGGTGATATATGGTGAAGATGAAGTGGGATCTACTGCTAATGATCCGTTCTGCTCAATCTGTTTATTGGATTATACAGATGCTCAGATATTAAGGCTCTTACCTGATTGTCGCCATATATTCCACGCTGCGTGTGTGGATGAATGGCTCCAACAACATCCAACATGCCCCATTTGCCGGTGCACGCCACTAGTATGCTCATAAGTTTAGGAAAGCTTTCTTGCTTTCAATAATAATTTTTAAAAAATTATTTTTGACACTAACAGTTTTATAGCCACCTTTAAATTGTAGTTTTTCCAAATAGACTCTAAAGAAATAATTGTCATTCGAATGGAGAATTTATAAGAGAAATAGTAAAAATTTTCGATCAGGATCTTATTATAATTTAGTTAATTTTTTTTTTAATTCTTGAATTTTTTCTTAAGATAGATAATTAACAAACTTTTCTGCTTTCTTAATTTCAATATAAATTTAAGAGTTTTACAATTGATCTCGATCAAATTTTGATCAGATATGCTTGCCCAATTGTTATTTTCTGCGAAATTAGTTCGTAGCCACTCTTTTAGTTTTTGTTGAGGAGAAATTGAGTGATTTTTGTTTCCTTCCTGCTTATTTTACTGTTAGAAATCTGTATTTTAATTCACAAAAGCAATAAGCCTTTTTATCAATTATTTAACTGAAATGACAAAAAATTATTAAAAAAAAATATAACTTCTGTGTGATCAAAATTAAATTGAATTAGCCATTAATTATTTTGATATAATATAAAATCGGCTCAAAAGAATAGCATATGCATGATGAGTGAAATTATTACGTGTGGTCACTGGAAGTCGTCCAAAGGCCAATCCAGATGCGCCACGTCACCAATTTATCGTATATCGTTATTGCGTATAGCTATATTTCTAGTGACGTGGTACGTCTTGATTGGCCTCCGGATGGACCAGTGACCGCATGTAATAATTTTTTGGTGTGATGATGGGATATATAAAATGAAAGAGAAATTTCTTGTATTGTGGATTTTAAACACATTTCCTTGAAGTTGTAAGCTAATATTTATCTGGAATCAATTAAAAAATAATAAAAAAATAGATCCACGAAATTATATCCCATATATATTTTTTAATCTTTATATGATGTTCGATTTTATTTTTATTATTTCATATTTATATGGTATTCTATCTTACAAAGATAGGTTTTAATCCCCAGAGTTCTAAGGCCACAAAAATTAGCCATGTCCAAAAGCTCGACTTTTTCTACGTCCTTGAAGCAAAAGCCAACACAAAGGCTGCAAATGACTCGGAAACAATCACAAATTATTTTATATTGAGGAAAGTTGCAATAACGTAAGACGTGCCCAATCGGGTAGAATCTTGATTAAGTGGGATGTCTCTTACATTAACTTATCTACCATTTTCACTAACAAGCAACTTATACATTGGCACATCTTTTACCTCAGCACTCCTCCCTTCCTACTCTTAAATATCTATCCATCTAACTCCCATAATGATAGAATTTAATAGCGAACCCTCGCTCAGTAACCGATTCTGGCACCATCACACAGAAGGAACGAGTGTCTCCAGCTCAGCTCGGATGCTCACCATGAGATCATGATAGACAAATTCAATCTCAGCCTTACACCTGTATAGCACCAGCACATTTACACCCATAGATATACTTAGTTACCTATATAGTACAATGTGTGTAGAAAATACATTTACACATAAATGATATACAAGGTTCTTTTCCAAAATTCTTTTGTGGCTGTCTTCTTTTCATCTGACCTAACTTAGCTGTATTATAGCTTTGTTCACATGATATCAGAGTGATCGGATCACAACCCATCGCTGATCCTTTAATATGGCATCCTTCTCCTCCTCCCACACAAATAACACTTCCGATGACACTCCTGCTGACGACGTCCTCACCCCCTCCTCTCTAAAATTTCTTATCTCCAATATCAAAACAAAAATTCCCCTTCAACTCTCAAATGATAACTACCCCACATGGAAATCTTATATCATGAAACTTCTTCATGTAAATGGTCGTGTTGGCTTCATAGATAAATCATCTCCAGCTCCCATGCACATCCCATTGACATCAATGGCACCTCCCCCCCAACGACCTAGCCAACAATCCATGGAATTACATCGATCAAAACTTCACAATGGCCATATGCTCCACCATTTCACCTACTATCCTCTCCTAAATTCTTCAACTGGATACTTGTGTTGACATTTGGAGAACACTAGAACGTCACCTGCAGAAGACAAACAAGTCCAGAGTTATATAACTTAAGAATGAACTTCATCAAATTTTCTATGGGTAATCTCACCATGCTTCAATACCTTACTATGTGAAGACATTGGTTGACAACATTTTCATTGTTGATTGCTCTATCGACAGCGAGGACATTCTTTTCTACACCCTAAATGGATTGCCTCCTCAATATCAGACCTTCAAGACCTCCATCAGAACCAAATTAATACATGTTAGTCTTAAAGACCTTTACTCACTGCTCCTGAGTGAATAAATCAATCCCTCCCAAGACTCATCCAAAGAAACACCCTCCCATAACCTTAACACAGCTATTTATTCCAACTGCGGCAGAGGACGAGGTTGTGGCCATTTTAATGCTTCATCCACCTATGGTCACTACTCATCATAGACGACAAACTGACAACCTCTCACTACAACTACTAGACCAGTCATTTTCAAATAAGTAGGAAGAGAGGACACACCGCCAACATTTGCTGGCATCGACTAAACACCCACTATCCAACACTATCCTTAACTCTTCTAGCTTCAACTCCACAACCCCCTACTAATTGGACATTTGAGTCAGGATCTTCCTTCCATCTCACCAACAACTTCGACAACCTCCTCCATCTAACATAGTATAATGGCACCTGAAAGTTTGTTAGGGATGTTAAGCCCTTATGAAGTAGCCCAAGGCTAACCAAGAGGTGGGGAGGTGAATTGGTGTTTTAAAAAATTTCTCAAACGAAAATCACAATCTTAAACCAAACCAACAATCACCACAAGAAAATTAAAGTGCGGAAAAGTAATAAGAAAGAACACAAAAAATTTTATAGTGGTTTGATCAACTTTACCTACTCCACTCTCCAGAGCCTCACCTCCGGGTATTGCACTAACACAATAACTCTCCTTTTGCTCCCACATCAACGTTGAGAAGCATGTATAAACCTCCTTACCACCGACACCGGTGAGGCAGAGAATCCAACTCCTTTTTCTTCCTCCTGAAGTTGGCAGAGAACCAGACTCCTTTCTCTTCCTCCTAAAGAAGGCAGAGAATCTCGATCAATTGCTGAAGTAGACCTCTCTTGAACCTCCAAGGAATTAGGGACGAAAAACGAAGAAGAAGGCTCAGATCCTTGCTTGGAGCAACCTTTGCGAACCCCTCACAAACTCCCCCTCATAAGATCCCCTCTCTCTCTCTCTCTCCCCCTTACTCTCCCTCTCCTCTTGGTTCTCTCAGAAATCTCAACATCAATAAACAAGAGATCTTATAAACAAGCGCTTAAAATGTTTCCTAATTTGCAACTTGTAGTCAAAGATCATCTAGGACGATCGATAGATCATCCTTCATGATTGGTGTAATTTATCCCTTTCAGCCAAGACGATCTGGATGTGTTGGACGATTAGAACATATTATTTATTTTGATTGTCTAAGATGATAAGGATATCATCATGTATGATTAGTTCAAGATCATACATATCATCTAGTATATCATTTTAGTTATCTAGAATAAACATTTAGACAATGAAGAATTATAACTGATTGTCAAAGACGATGTTTGGATCCACCTATATGATTAGTTCAAAATAAGTGATTATCATCTAGCACATCATTCTGGTCGTCCAGCATAAACATCTGGATGATGTAAATTTATAATTAATAGTCCGACAAATCATTCGGTTCATCTAGCCCATTCATGAGAAGATTAAGGTTCTCTAACTGATCGTCCCGGACGATCCTACGATTGTCCCGAATGATATAATCGATCAATCTAACCTTAATTACTTTCCTTAATCACTTAACTAATTTAAGCATGATTATAATGAATCATCCAGGAATATATGGGATCGCCTTATACAATTTCTAAAAATAATATCTACCTAAAAGATTTTAGTGATTGATTCTTTCTAATTTGAGCCTATCGTCAAAGACGATGTAAATATCGTTCAGGATGATTTTCTTAATTTGGCTATCTTAACACAGGAGCCCTGATTAGGATTTTTATTTCTAACTAATCATCTAGGACAATTTTGGATTGTCCTGTACAATGTGATCAAAAATAGAAAAACCCTTAAACTTATAGAATTTTTCCCCCTGAGTATGCGTGTGTGTGCAAGTTTACTTAACATCATGATCCACCTTATTACTTTTGACCCAAGAAAAGAAAAAAAACCACTAGAATTACACTTACAGACTGACTCAGTTCTAGTCTATCCAATCTTAAGTTGGCTTGATTTGTAATTGATCATGAGGACCTGAAAAGTTGGTAGCAGAACAACGAAAATAAATGTGCAATAGTAATAATAGTAAGGAAACAAGAATATCAGAAATGTTGGCTATCATCAAAATTATAATCCTTGAATCAATATTTACAACAAGAGCATGTCTTGAGGATTCTATGTCAGAAAATATGCATGTTTAATTTTCATCTTTGGGGCAGTATAAATATGGAAATCCACTAAATTTCATTTCATCAAAATCATTCACCCGCTAAGCAATCTGATAGAGAGAGGAAGAGAGATCCCAGAGAAATAATGTTAATTTTGGGCAGCTTTGGGCCAAGTTAACCGATTGGGCCAATATGGAAATTATTTAGATCGAGGTAGGTTACATTTACCCTATCTTAGTTTTTCATAATTCATAGTTTTTGGGATTTTCCAATTTAAATTCTAAAATTTCAACAAAAATTTAGGTAGATTCTGGCATCTAGTAAACTTTCACCATAAAACTTTTGATATATTATAGATTATAATATTCTACACATTTTGATATATTATTCATGAATTTTTATCTAGTAGTTTTGATTATAAGCTCATTTAAGCATTCTAAGAAATATTATGACACTGATAGATAGTGTCAAAGTATAATAAAAACCTTGAAACATAGATGTGAATACTGTGTGGTAATTTGGTTATAGTCTAAAAATGTAAAAATT